TGTGAAGACTGTGAAGTTCAGAGACACAGGTAAAGCTACCTGACATGTAGTAGATTCTGTATACAATAAATAGTATTTAGGATTATTTTATTGTAGTATTTATGCCTAGTAGAAAACCTTGAAAATAGCTATTAAATTACTAATTATGAAATCTATTTAGCAACTAGGAAAATATTATAATAACTGTTAGATAAAAATAGGCCCAACCATGTGTACACATTTAATATAATTTTACTAAAGATACAGGGAAAATTTAAATGCTCAACCATGGTCTAAAAAGATAAGATTAAAATCTTTATAAACAGAAACATACATCATTTAAAGGACAAATCAATCATTATTTCTTAGTAAGAAATTCCAGGATATAAAGTAATTAGATTTAAATGTTCTAGAGAATTAACAATTTTGTATTTGTTTAAAGAAAATATTTTATATTTAAGAAATGATCACAAGTCTTGTCTTATGAGACAGCTTCATGTCACTATTTTGAAACTCAGGGTCGCCTTTATAAGCAAAAGATGGCAGCACACAACCACCCCCTGGTGGCAGTATGCCCAAAGTTTAGTATCGATATGTGGAAAATGTAACACTGCCCATTTTGCAAGCTCTGAAAACAAAGTTGCAAATGCTCAAAACTGAAAAACTCAGCTTGAATTTATGCTCCAAACAACTAACCCATATTAAATTCAGTGGGGCTCATTCTGTGACACTATTTAATTTACATTGTTGCAAATACAATTTCATAGAAATAAAGCAGGGTACAGTCCCTTTGGCTCCTTGTTCCTAGAACTACTGACTCTGCTTGATATAGCACAGCTAGAAAGGAGTTCATCATGCCCAAAGGGAGTGCCAAGCCCTCTGTTTATTGTGTGTGTTTTTTTCTGTACATTCTCACCTCAGCTCTTGGGCAATACAGAAGCCCCAGTGACAGAGGCCACACTCATTGGGAACCTACAGGAGCCTACAAGACCCAAAATTCTGAGGGAAGGAAGCTTGTTACTTCAGGAACTGTGATTACTAAGGGAACAGAGAAATCCCCTTGATGTTGTTTTCTGTTTGTTTTTTTTTTGTTGTTGTTGTTCTCTCTGGCCTCCCACTGCCTGGCCTGAGATGAGAGCAAAGGCTCAGAAGTGCATGGTGGTACACAGCACGGCCTTTCTGACTGAAAGTCACAAAGGAGAAGATCCAAGTATCTAGAAAGTACTGATGCAGGTAAGGAAGAGCTTGGAAAAGTGAGCTCACCAAGCTGCTTATGAACTTCAGGGTTCGCCCTCAAGATGAGCATTTATGAATCTGGCCTGAACAACTTACCAAAACCCTTGAGGACTAACTAAGTGATCTACTTTCCCAGTCCCCAGGTTGTCCACAGATGGCACAGACACAAGGAAGATCTAAATAGCAATGCAAAGCTATCTATATAAACCAGTATCAAAACTCTAGCCACCAGAAGATTGGCTGGACCTTTTGACCTGAACCTAGGAAGTGTACTAAGTGAAAACAGCAACAGCTTTCATTGGCTCTAAATAAGACCCAGAATCCCATTACATAATGATATAAAATTTTTCATATAAAGAACCAAGAAGATATCAACCAAGAGAAAAGATAACAGACATCCACATTAGCATGGCAGAGTTTCTTATGACAAAAACCTTAAGTATCTTTAATATACCTATGCCAACAAGGACTTCAAACACTTCAGACAAATAGATAAACATAAAGAACACCTATTCGAGACATTTAAATATTTTTCACTGTAAAAGGCAGTGCTGCTCCAAAAATAAGTGTCCTTGGATGCAACCAATAGTGTTTCTCTAAACTTGGAAGTTTTACAACAGAAAGATACATACACTTATAAAATAAAAATAAAAAATAAAATAAAAATTTAATCCAATAGGTAGGTTGAATAGAAGGTTGAAAATAACAGAAATCATTGAACTTAAAAATAAATAGAAGTCATTTGATCTAAGCAACAGAGAGAAAAGACAAAACAAAACAAAAAAAATAGAGCCTTAGGATCACATGAGACAACAGCAGAAAAATATCTAACTCTTGCTTGTCAGAGTTACAGAAAAAAAAAATAATGTAACGATGAAAAAATATTTGAAGCAATAATGTCCGACGCTTGGTGAAAGAAATAAGCCACTGATTCAATAAACTCAGTGAACCTCAAACAGAGTAAACCTGAAGAAATGCTTTTCTAAAAAGCAAGGGCTGAAGAAACTTCAAGAGTGACTCTCAAACTTATGAATTTGGAAAAAAAAAAAAAAAAAAAAAAAAGAAGTCAACTGAGGTGCCCTGGCTGAGAGGGAGTAGGGAAGTAGGAGGCTCCAGAAGGGAAGAAATAAGGAAGTTTAACTTAAGAGGTCTGGGATTGACTAACCAGGAATTGAAAATTAACATTTGGCACTCAAAGGAAATTCTGAGTTGGAGACACTGATTTGAAAGTCATCACTTATAATTGGAAAGATGGAAACAGAAGAGAATAAAAAAAGATTAGGCTTCAGCTAAGCTATGTAGCAGTAATAAATAAGTCTTACAGTGTCAGTGGAATAACATAAAATTGTGTTCTGGCTGACGGCATAATCCAAGGAAAGTCACATAGCCTCCACCCTATGTGTTCGCCAACTGACTCACATGTCTTCTGAGTTCAGTGTAGCTGAGAAGACAAATGACACTTCCTTCCATTCATGGCCCCAATCCAAATGGAAGGAAAGGAATAAAGTGCAGTTCTCCTCCATACCCAGGAACCCAAAGGATATGACGGGTCATGGTGATGTGTTTGTCACAGGGCCAAAGCCAGAGTCTGAACTTGGCCAAGTGACCATGAGATAGAAGTATAGACAAAGTATGTCCGTTAGTGGTCTTGGGATTTCATATCAGAGTTTAAAACAATTTGTGGTGGAAACAGAATTGAAAAGCATATTCTCAAGTCCTCATATATCATCTTCATTTAAATTTGGCTCCTGCTCTAGTTCTGTCTTCCACCTGAGACATTCTTTAATTCCTTGAGTGTCCAAAGCTGTCTGCTAAGTTTCTTCTGGCTCCAACATCCTATGATGCTCTCTGTGGTGCTCCTCTCTATTCGTACCCTGCAGGCATGCTAATGTCAAATTCAAAAAGATCTTTTTGACATAGCCCTTTTTCACAACTGAACACCTGCGGAGTCTGCCCTTCCATAATTTCCATGAATATTTTTTCCAGACCGGGTATAGAAGAATGTGAAACAGTAAGTCATTCTGAAGGCAGATAGATTTCTGTGTGTATATCTTTAGCTATTTTAGCATATAAATTCTGTATTTCAAATAATGAAAATAGGAATGAAACCAATGTCAGTCTTTCTGTGTATTCCTGCTAATATTTATTGGGTGCCAACTATGTGCAGTGTCAACAGAACAAGGCCCCCGCCCACATGGGGGCAGGTTTTCTGGTGAAGAAACAAGCAAATACATAGCGTAATATGAGGTAGTGATGAACACTATACAGAAAATTAAAGCAAGACAAGGAAATGGTTGTGTAAAATGTTGGTCATTGTGAAGGAAAAGTTCCCAAAAAGAACTCTTGCACTTTGGACTGAACTTCCTGCAAGACTGACCAACTGATTATCACTCCGGAAACAGTGGAGAGTTTGGAATGGTCCAGAGTCTAATTACCATTTATCTCCGGCCATCTTTAGCCCCCTAAACAGCTGTTCCTTACCCACCTCTGTTTCTGATCTAACATCCTGTGACTAACAGATTAAAAAACCTTTTAGAATGTATTATCTTAGCAGACCACTCGGTCTCACCAATCATAAAGCTAAGAATGCCATCAGATAGCACCTGGGACCTATAGTGAAAAAAACCCTCACTTTGCTGTGACTCACCTACTGAATGCATCCTCTAATGTATTTAAAAAGTGTCTTGATTTATGACTTTTCTTTGTTCTGTTACTATAAAAATGTAAAGCAATTGTTACCATGCTGGAACATGGAATTTGGATGAAATTTGGGGTAACCTGAATCTGTGTTCCCGGGCCATGGTCACTCACATTTGGCTCCAGAATAAACTACGTCTTCTCCCCTGTGAGGTGAGAACTATGCTTTTGCATCAACAGTCATGGAAAACAGATGACAAGTAGTGATTCAGGTTTGATGGGATACCATTAAGCAGGAAAGTGATAGAATCTTCTTTATATTACTAAAAATCACCTCACTGCAAATGGAGAAGTGACTCTCCTGTGCAAGGGTGGAGGCAGGCAAGGCAGATCCTTTGGGAGACCACAGTAGCAATTCAGGGAAGCAACATGTGAAGAGGAAAAGGCCCAGATCCCACCTGGAAGGAGTCTCAGTCCAGAGGGAGGACTGTGTCCCTGGAGAGCTGTAACTTAAGTGCCCAGACAGCTGCTGCACTGCATGATGCTGTTGGAGTGCCTAGAAGGAGGAAGCACCTAAGTGGGCCTGTGAGAGTCAAGGTCATCATCAAGAGAGGACACCAGGACACCTGTAGACAAGCCTAGGAATGGTTCTGAGAGAGAAAGCAAGAAGTCACTGTTGTAGGACACTTTTATAAAGAGGTAGGACACCAAGGCTTTATACCAGGAAGTAGAGCTTGTTTTCTGCTGACCCAACAGGTTTCTACCCAAAGGCTGAGCCCACTATAAAGCAGGGAGTTGTCTTATATAATACCCTCATTACACTCTAGTTTCTTTGCCTCCCTATATGGAAATGTATGTTACATATGTTCTGATTGGGCACTCTAGACTACAGGGTGAGTCGGGTTTGCAGATGTGCAAATGTGCATGGAGACTGTAGGTAAAAAGAAGACAAAGATTTATTCCCTCTTCTCTCACTTTGTCTGAGCAGCAGGGATCAACTTGGCACCAAAGCCTCGCTTGCCTCTGCTTCCCAGTTGAGGATTTAGCACTACCCCTTGACGCTCCCCATAGCCCGTACCTCGTTATTAATACAGAAGTAGCGTACTCTTTTGTAATTTGTCAAACTTGATGTTTTCTTTTTTTGGCAGTTTAAAGGAAGAAAAGAGCCTCATATTAAAGGAATTTGAGAAGATACCTAAGCCAGGAGTAAGTATTAGAGTTTATTAAATGTAGCTGGATCCAAATATCCCTTTAAAAAATAATTCTCTTTAGCCATGCCCTGGGCATTTGAAAACCAAAAATTCACAATCATTGCTGATCACATGATAGAGTTTCCAGTCTGAAGACATACAAATCACATGCAAGAATTTTTTAGGCTTCTCTTTAAATAATTTTTGGCAATATCCTGTTAGTCAAAGCAGTATACAGGGCAAAGAATAGAAAAGATGGGCTCACCCTCTAAATGGGAAAAATAACAATGACAATTGTAGAGGGGCAGCATCCCCTGGAGAACAGAAGGAATTTATGGCCATGTTTTGTGACCTGCAATAGAAAGTAAATAGAAACCTTACATTGCTTCCATTTTCAGAATGGTAATTTCAAAAATGTGTTGTCAATGGTTTAATTCCATGGCATCTTACACAAACCTGTTTAACATTTAGTAAAATACTATTAATCCTCCTTAAGTGCATCTGTGATGGTTAATATTGATTATAAATGACAGGATATGAGACAAGTTTTGCCATGACTGTGAGGGATTATCTAAATTATCTAGGTTATCTAGGTTAGCCTCTGGGCATGCCTGTGTGGGACTATCTAGATTAGGTTAGCCTCTAGGCATGTCTGTGAGGAATTATCTATGTTGGGTTAATTGAGGTGGAAAGTGGCACCATTCCATGGACTGGGGTCCTGCACTGAATGAATAGGAAAATACCTCTGAGCAGTAGTATTCATCTCTCTCTGCTTCTTTATGGGATGCAACATGACCAGCTGCCTCCTGCTCCTGCTGCTGGGACTTTCCTGCCATGACCAACTGCTCCAAAATAAATTCTTCCTCCTTAACTTGCTTTTGTTAGGGCGTTTTATCACAACAAAACAAGCAACTCATACAGCATCTAACTACCATTTGCAATACAGAAAACAATTTGAATTTTAGGTTCAGAGTCTGGGTAACTAGTTCACTTTTTTTCTAGCAGTAGGAGGGAGCTCTGAAGAATGCTCAGAGCAGGATAAATGGATCCACTCACTTAGATACTAGTAGCAGATAGCCTTTTTGAGTATAAGAAGGCTTTTCTCCATAAGTTAAACCTTCTCCAGATAATAAGGCATAGGAAGGACAATCTCTGAGCCTGAGGCACAAGATACTAGGGGAGAATGTACAGAAGGAATATTAATAAATGAGGTGCCACCATGGGGAAAAGTGAACATCCTTACCATTAGTTCCTATGTGTGATTCAAGCTACACTTGAGGCAGATATTCAAAGGTTATTTGCATCTTATTTTGACAAATCACAAAGCTATAAAGAAACAGAATGTACATTGCCATTAGTGACTGGTATGAAATAAAAGTTAACTCAGAAAAGGAAACATTTAAAAGATGAAGTGTGGAGCTGGAGAGATGGCTCAGCAGTTAAGAGCACTGGCTGCTCTTGCAAAGGACCTGGGTTCAGTTCCCAGCATCCACATGGCAGCTAACAATCATTCATAACTCCAGTTCCAGGGGATCTGACGCCCTCTTCTGACCTCCGAAAGCATTGCACGACATAGGTGCACTTACATACATGCAGTCATCACACTCATACACATAAAATTAAAATAATAAATAAACTATTTTTTTTTATTTTTTATTGAATTTTTGACTTTTTTTTTAATAACCACATACTTAGAAGAAGCATTTCATTACATCAGCATTTCATAACTCAGGGGATCTGACGCCCTCTTCTGACCTCCGAAAGCATTGCACGACATAGGTGCACTTACATACATGCAGTCATCACACTCATACACATAAAATTAAAATAATAAATAAACTATTTTTTTTTTTTTTTTATAGAAAATGGGAGAGAGAGAGAGTGGTGGCTGTTTCCTATGTTAAAATTGCCAGCGTTTTCCTCCCTGGGTGTGGGTGTGCCTCTCGGGTCTCTTTTAGCCAGAGCCTAACTGAGAGAAGGCCCAGGCTGGTCCGGTCTCAGTTCACCACCTCCTCTGCAGAGAGCACAACTGCAGCTGCTACAGTGGGAGCGGGAAAGCAAGCCGAATTTTTTTTTTTTTTTTGTCTTTTTGAGACAGGGTTTCCCTGTAGCTCCAGCTGTCCTGGAACTCATTATGTAGCCCAGGCTGGCCTCGAACTCACAAAGATACACCTGCCTCTGCCTCCTGACTGCTGGGATTAAAGGCGTGTGCCACCATGCCCAGCCTTTATTCATTATTTTTATTTTATGTGTATTGCCTGCATGTAGGTAAGTGCACCCATGTTGTGCAATGCCCGAGAAGGTCAGAAGAGGGCCTCGGATCCCCCAGAACACGATTTAGGGCGGTTGTTAGCCACTATGTGGGTGCTGGGAATCCAACCTGGGTCCTCTGCAAGAGCAGCAGTGCTCTTAACCACTGAGCCATCTCTCCAGC